AACGCGAAAGAAAACGACGCAAAGACCACATTGCCATAACAGTTGCGTTAAGGACGTGTGAAATAACTCCGTGTCACTTAAACGTAGTTTGCAGCTGCGTCAGAAAACAGCAGATAGATCTCTCAACAAATCGATCTGTTGTTACAACTAAGTTTATTTCAAGCAGTTTCGACATGTTCCCATTCTGTGGGCTCATTTTCGAATGCTGAATTTGCAAGTAAAACCATCCTACATAAGTGACAGTTTTTGACAAATGACAAAGGAACCTACCTTTAGAGTCACCCCAGTCAAGTGTAACATTATATCTAGAAATTCACTGACAATGACCCCAGACTCAAGTGAACCTCCATGGCTTTTTCTCTGACCCCACACAAATAATTTTTTCCTCAGCCCACTTTCCCCCTCTACACTTCCTTTGTGAGGGAAAGAAAAGGTTTAATGGCCTTAGCTTGGAGATTGTGGCTTCACTGCTTAGACAGCTCTCTTCACCCATATGATGGAAGGTACCAGTCACTGTCATTTGCTTGCCCAGGAATATGACAGAAAAGCCTGCGTGGCAGCTTCAGCAATACTTCCACAAAGCCACTCACATGAGCCGTTTTCAGTACTCAGTGTTGCCTGAGCATGGCTAGCTCTGCTCCTTCTCCTACTAGGTCAGCCAAGAGACAAGGAAACCAAAATAAGCTCTTTCTAGCACTACCTTCCTCACCAAGAAAAACATGGTTACTCCTCCCCTATTCATGTGAATGCCTCTATCCCTGGCCTTTGCCTGATGGCTTTCTTCTCCCTTGAGTCCTCCTGCTGCCAGTTTTCTGGGCAGCAATTCTACCACAGCCTCAGGGACCAGAAGAGCTGGGCTGTCCCATGGCAAGATGATCTAGGGATGATCAGAGCCAAAATCCAACCTCACCAGCCTGGATAGAGTCCTGCAGCACAAGAGCAGGGCAGACACTAATGGGCACACCCACATGAGGTGAGGTGATGAACCAGGTACAAGGTCCACCCAGGTAATTCGGGCAGGAGCAACAGGAGATGGTGCCAGGAACAGAACTGGAAACACAGGTCCAAGGTTCACCCAGGAGATGGAGCTGAAGGGAGCGACACCTATGATACAGCCAGGCAGGGACTGAAGGTGCTGGGCTGTGTTGAAAAGGAGCTTTTGCCCTATAAGCAAGAGTTGGGAGCCCCAACCTACTTGAGTGAAGATCATCAGGGCCTTAGTCAGTGCACCTAGACTCCAGTCCTCCTATGGACCTGAAGAGCAATTCTGAGTCAGTCCTGGACTGGACACCACTATCCATCTCCTCCTCCACTGGTTTTGGGATGAACCTAGGCACAGGGGAGGCACAGCTTGGCCGTATAGATTGTGGGGCTAAGAGCAGAGTTCAGCAGCTTCACTAGACACTGAGAAGAAGCACATGGTCTTGACACATAGGAAGGAAATTCCTGGGGAGAAAGCATGAAAGTATGAGTAGGTTGCAGAAGGTGACACCTAACTGAGGGGGTCCATCACAGATCAGGAGATCTGGCGAATGTGTAGATGAGCCACTGAGACCATCAGCCAGCAAGCTGATTTTAAAGACTTAAATGAGAGCTTTCAGCAGCTCTGTCAGGATCACATTGGTATCCTGAAGCAAAAGGGATTTATAAAAGACTGCGTGGAAAGAAATTCCCTCATCCCATAAGAATTTCAGAAACTTGGAGAAAGGCAGAGGCAATTGTCTTGAGTAAAGATAACAAATAAATACAACCCCCAAACTGAAAAATGCTATTCATGTTTCAGTAATTTTAAAAATGTTGGAAATATGTCTAGGATGTTTCAAATCCTTTTTCTTAACTTTTTTTTTTTTTTTTTTTTCCCCCCCCAGGAAAAAAAGCCACATAAAATTCATGTCCATCTTCTGAGTTACTTTTAGTTTGACTAGCTGGCATGTTTCTCGATGGCCAAGCACTTCCCCGTCAGACTTCCCAGTACAGTATTGTCGGGAATCATTAGTCCTCGACACCTGCACTATCCTGTGCCCACCCACCACAGACCGAACGCACCAGCACCTGCCCCACCAGCCGCCACGCCCTTGCTCGCTTTCCTCCTGCAGGACTCGTCCCCTGGCCGGAGTGATGACCCCGAGAAACCGCCCCCCGTCCCCGGACCAAGGAGGCACTGCCTTCTTTCCCACACCGCAGTCGCGGGGCGAGTTTCTGAGGGGGAGGAGCAGCTCGGGTTCCCCACGGACACCCCACCGGGAAGCCGTTCCGCGCAAGCCCGGAGGAGCGGGCGGGGGGGGGGGGCCGGCGGGGGCGCCGAGGGGGGGG